GGGGGGTGAGAAAGGAAGTGAGAAAGGAGGGGGGGAGAGAAAGGAGAGGGGGAGAGAAAGAGAAAGGAGAGGGGGAAGAGAAATTAGGAGGGGGAAAGAGAAATTAGGGGGGAGAGAAATTGAAATTAGAAGGGGGGGATAGAAATTGAAATTAGGAGGGGGGAAGAGATATTAGGAGGGGGAGAGAAATTTGGAGGGGGGTGAGAAAGAGAAATTGGGAGGAGGAGAAGGAAATTGGAGCGGGAGAGGAGCATTAGGATGGGGGAGAGATATTAGGAGGGGGGAGAGATATTGCAGGGGAGAAATTAGGAGGGGTGAGAAAGAGAAATTAGGAGGGGGGAGAGAAATTGAAATTAGAGGGAGGGAAAGAGAAATTAGGGGGAGAGAAATTAGGGAGGGGTGGTGAGAAAGAGAAATTAGAGGGAGAGAAATTCTAAATTAGGAGGGGGAAGAGATATTAGATAAGGAAAAGAGAAATGAGGTGAGAGAAATTGAAATTAGGGAGGGGGGTATATTAGAGGGGAAAGAGAAAATTAGGGTGGTGAACAGGAGGGGGGTGAGAAGAGAAATTGGGAGGAGGAGAAGGAAATTGGAGCGGGAGGAGAGATTGACATTCAATACATACACACAATGCACCCCTTGCACACAGAAAAACACACAATGCACATACACACATACACAAGCAATGCAAATCAAGCATACCAATGCATCCCTTACACACACACAGAAACACACAATGCACTATTACACATTAATGCACCCCTTACACACACATTCAATGCAAATCATACATATACAGAAACACACCTTGCAGCCCTTACACATACAAACACAGATTCACACAATGCATTCCTTACACACATATCAGGACATCCCCTACACACTCCACCCGCTGTGAACAAACTCATTGGTGGAACATGAAGGTGGACCCTGGGACCCAGACCTTGAGCTGTGTAAAGGACCCCCAAAAAATGGAGCTGCTTCCCGTTCTCCCAGAACATTGATATTTGTGACCACAGTTACAAACCGCCTCCAGAGAGCCTGTTCTGCACCAGACCAGTGGAGCCAGACTGCAGCCAGAGCCCATCATCATCCTCATCTGGTTGTAAGTAGGCAATCTAGTATATTATTCGTGGCACTAAGCTCTAATTTACCTCACATTAAAGAAACACTATAGTCCCCAGAACCACTTCAGCTTAATGTAGTGGTTCTGGTGTCTATAGCCTGTCCCTGCAGGCCTTTTAATGTAAACACGGCGGCACTGCAGCACTGGCGTTAGTTAACATGGCAAATCATATGGGTGGGGCATTGTGATGTCGCATGGGGGGGGCGGCAAACTTTACTTTTGCCTAGGGCGGCAAAAATCCTTGCACCGGCCCTGGCTGGAGGGGGCTGTGTGAGCTGTGGCCGCACAGTGTTCCATGGTAGTTAGGGTGCCGTACAGCTCACACAAGCAAACAGCTGATAAACTGGCTGCACAGAGGAAATGTGTATGTGTGACTGTCTGCCTGTGACTGTGTTACTGTCTGCTGTAACAGTGTGTGACTGTCTGTCTGTAACTGAGTGTGTGACTGTCTGTCTGTAACTGAGTGTGTGACTGTCTGTCTGTAACTGAGTGTGTGACTGTCTGCCTGTAAATGTGTGTGTGGGGCTGCAGGGATTTTGTAGAAGGGGCGGGGTTTTTGTATTGGGACAGGAGTCTTTATAAGGGGGGATAAGCAGGGGATTTGTGGAAGGGGGTTGCGGGGGTTTTGTAGACGGGGCAGTACAGGATTTCTAGAAGGGGCAGGACAGAGGTTTTGTAGGAGGGGCGGGGCAGGACAAGGGTTTTGTAGGAGGGGCTGACAGCGGTTTTGCAAAGTTTACAAATTGTAAAAAAAAATAAAGAAAAGCCAAGCACAAGCACAGGATCCGCCCCGGGTGCCAAATGCTCTAGGTACGCCCCTGAATCTTACCTTTACTCCAGTCTGCTGCTGCTGGTTCTGCCTCTGATCTGCCTGCTTGGCTGACATCATTACAAGCGGTTTTCTGAGCCAATTACAATGCTTTCACATAGAAAAGTATTGGATAGGCTAAGACTGTCAAGGAGGCAGATCAGGGGCAGAGTCAGCACAAGGAAAACACAGCCCTGGGCAATCAACATCTCCTTATAGAGATGCATTTAATCAATGCATCTCTATGAGGAAAGTTCAGTGTCTCCATGATGAGGGTGGAGACATGGATTGGCAGTGTGCAGCACTTCCTCAGGAAACTCTTCTAGTAGCCATCTGAGGAGTGGCCAGTGGAGGTATCCCTAGACTGTAATGTAAACACTGCATTTTCTCTGAATAGACAGTATTTACTTCAAAATACCTGAAGGGAACGCTTATACTCACCAAAACAAATTGTCAGGATTAGTAGATGATCCAGCATGTAGAATTGTGTCACACAGATGACTAATAGGTCATGTATTACCAGGCCTTAGAATGGCCGGACTTAACGTACCAAAGAATAGTCAGGATACTTGCCAAGGTCAGGGGACACAGAAAGAGACACAATGATAAGAGAAAGCCAGAAGTTAGGGATACAGAATACAGGGAAGTCAAAATCAAAGCCAAAATCAAAAACCAGAAGAAACTTGAATCAGGAACGCGCTCTCAGACAACCACAAGGGATACCACGACAGGGCACTGAGCAGGATGAGAACTGGGCCTAAATACCCCTCCTCTAGATCTGATAGGCTGTAACCGGCCTTTGACCCCAAAGGCAGTTACCAGGTTTCCATTTACAAAATTGCTGCTCAGCATTAACCCTTCTGTGGATTTGGTTGCTGCTCGGCACAACTTTTCCTGTGTGGACAGTAAATGCCATTAACCACATTTTTATAAGCAGATGAATACGTGACACAAATACAATAAGCTGTAGTTGTTCTAGTGACAATTGTGTCCCTTTAAATTATAGTGTCAATTGTTCCCTGGGACACAGGGAGCGGAGGGGGAGAGAAAGAGCAATGGGACACAGGGATGGGAGGGGGAGAGAGGAAAAAATGGGACACATGAGGGGAGACAGGGATGGTATTGGACAGAAGAAGGGGAGAGAGATGGATGGCATGGGACACAGGGAGGGGAGTGGGGGAGACATGGAGCATATGGGACACCTGGAGGGGAAGAACAGGGAGAAATAGGACCCAGGGAGGGGAGGGGGGAGATAGGGAACAATGGTCACATGGAGAGGAGAGAGGGAGGATATGGCACACAGGGAAAGGAGGGGGAAGAGATGGAGGATATGGGACACAGGGAGGGGGGAGACAGGGAGAAAAAGGATACAGGGAGGGGAGGGGGAGATAGGGAACAATGGACACATGGATTGGAGAGAGCGAGGGTATGGGACACAGGGAGGGGAAGGGGGAGAAATAGCAGGTATGGGACACCTGGAGGGGAGGAAAGAGAGTGGGAGAAATGGGACACAGGGAGGGGAGGGAGGAGAGAGGGAACACTGGGACACATGAATGGGTGAGAGGGAGGGTATGGGACAGAGGGAGGAGTGGGGGGAGAGAGGTAGGAATGAGAAACTTGGAGGGAAGGGGAGAGATGCATGGCATGGGACACATGGAGGGGAGTGGTGGAGATGAAGGGTATGGGACACAGGGATGGGAAGGGGGAGAGATGAGGGTATGGGACACCGGGCGGGGAGGGTAGAGAGATGGAAAAATGGGACACTTGGAATGGAGTGGGAGACAGGGAAGAATGGAACACATAGAGGGGAGGGGGAGAAAGGGGGGGAGGGGACACATTGAAGGCAGGAGAGGAGAGAGAGAGAGGGTATGGGATACATGGAAGGGAGGGGAGAGAGAGGGCAGATTGGGACACATGAAGGAGGGGAGAGAGTATGGAACACAGGGAGGGGAGAAGGAGAAATGGCACACTGGGAGAGAGGAGGATATGAGAAGCATGGAGGGGCTATGGGGAGAGGGAATGGGAAACATGAAGGGGCTGAAAGAGGAGGAGCCTATGAGACACATGGAGGGGCTGAGGGGGGAGAGGGAATGGGACACATGGAGGGGCTGTGGGGCAGAGAGAATGAGGCACATGGGGGGCCTGGGCGCGGGAATGAGACACCGAGGAGGGGGGATGAGACACATGGGAGGGGGACCCCAGG